CGAGCGAAAGTGAATAAAAGTTGAATAGTTCGCGCACAAAATTATATTGAATTCTTTTTCTTCTAAAGTTATAAATTGGTTAAGCAGTTAGGTTTTTTCCATAGATTAAGTTTGATTCGCTTGAATCTTCATAGTGCTGCTGCTGTCAATCTGGTCGATGCAGAACAAAACAAAGATCAAATTGCTAAGTTAAAAAAAACCCGCACAGATGCATAAGTAGAGACATTATTTTGACTGTACTTGGGTTTTGGCAAAACCCAACCCTGTTGACAGAGTACTTTTATTCTTCTTTTCACGTGAAGACTGATGGTTCTAGGGATACCAAAACATGTCGCCTTTCCTTGGGCTTCTTTGTTTCTTTGAATAGATGACGTTGATGTCCCCTTTCAAAATTAGAAGGCGATTGCAGAAGGAGAAAGGAAACAGGAAGAAAATGTGTAAAAACATGAGGCTGTATTGGTCCCCAACTCAAGTRTTGTCCTGAACAAATCACGTGATTAATTGCAGGAAAATGAAAACGTAAAAGATGACAAAAAGAAAAGCAAAGCAAGACGTAAAGCACTGGGACTGGCGTACACAATCGATGAAAACCCCCCCTGGTATATCTGCTTAACTCTTGGATTCCAGGTAAGTGAGGTGTCAACGGTAGTCGTCGTGAACTACATCGAGAGAGACTCTGCAAGCAGGAATACTACAGTTTACAGGAATACAGTTCTAGCCTCAACTTAGGGAAAATGTAAATTGTTAGCGCTATTGTATTAACAACATTTTCTCGTGCTTCCTTTTGTATTTGGTAAGTTCTTTGCGTAAGAGAATCTGCTGTCAAATAAAACAGCGGTTATTCGCTTTGAATTCGAAAATGGAGTATTGGTCATTTTTCTTGACTTCATGATTACTTTTCAAGAACTTTAGTGTCGTGAATGTTATATATTTTTGTTCAGCGTAATGTATTTCTTTTTTACAGCATTATTTGATGATGATAGGAGGGACCATATCAATCCCCATGATCCTTAGCGGCCCGATGTGTTTTGCTGACAAGCCGTTGGTTATAGCAGAAGTCCTAAACACTGTATTATTCTGCTCAGGAATTGTAACTCTCCTGCAGACTACATTTGGAGTCAGGTAATGCCGGCAATCCTTGTAAAAAGGATTATAAAACTTATTAATAATGCATGAGATATTAC